TCGATCATAGTAGGCTATTTTCAAAAAAAATTATCGATTTTATATCTATATTAGCATTCTTTATCATTTATAATGCCTAGATATGTTTTAAAATGCAATTTAAAGCATTTTTGGTTTCGATCATAGTAGGCTATTTTCAAAAAAAGTTATCGATTTTATATCTATATTAGCATTCTTTATAATTTATAATGCCTAGATATGTTTTAAAATGCAATTTAAAGCATTTTTGGTTTCGATCATAGTAGGCTTTTTTCAAAAAAAATTATCGATTTTATATCTATATTAGCATTCTTTATCATTTATGATGCCTAGATATGTTTTAAAATGCAATTTAAAGCATTTTTGGTTTCGATCATAGTAGGCTATTTTCAAAAAAAATTATCGATTTTATATCTATATTAGCATTCTTTATCATTTATAATGCCTAAATATGTTTTAAAATGCAATTTAAAGCATTTTTGGTTTCGATCATAGTAGGCTTTTTTCAAAAAAAATTATCGATTTTATATCTATATTAGCATTCTTTATCATTTATAATACCTAGATATGTTTTAAAATGCAATTTAAGGCATTTTTGGTTTCGATCATAGTAGGCAATTTTCAAAAAAAATTAACGATTTTATATCTATATTAGCATTCTTTATCATTTATAATTCCTAGATATGTTTTAAAATGCAAATTAAAGCATTTTTGGTTTCGATCATAGTAGGCTATTTTCAAAAAATGTTATCGATTTTATATCTATATTAGCATTCTTTATCATTTATAATACCTAGATATGTTTTAAAATGCAATTTAAGGCATTTTTGGTTTCGATCATAGTAGGCTATTTTCAAAAAAAATTATCGATTTTATATCTATATTAGCATTCTTTATCATTTATAATGCCTAGATATGTTTTAAAATGCAATTTAAAGCATTTTTGGTTTCGATCATAGTAGGCTATTTTCAAAAAAAATTATCGATTTTGTATCTATATTAGCATTCTTTATCATTTATAATACCTAGATATGTTTTAAAATGCAATTTAAAGCATTTTCGGTTTCGATCATAGTAGGCTATTTTCAAAAAAAATTATCGATTTTATATCTATATTAGCATTCTTTATCATTTATAATGCCGAGATATGTTTTAAAATGCAATTTAAAGCATTTTTGGTTTCGATCATAGTAGGCTATTTTCAAAAAAAATTATCGATTTTATATCTTTATTAGCATTCTTTATCATTTATAATGCCTAGATATGTTTTAAAATGCAATTTAAAGCATTTTTGGTTTCGATCAGAGTAATCTTTTTTCAAAAAAAAAATATCAATTTTATATCTATATTAGCATTCTTTATCATTTATAATACCTAGATATGTTTTAAAATGCAATTTAAAGCATTTTTGGTTTCGATCATAGTAGGCTTTTTCCAAAAAAAATATCGATTTTATATCTATATTAGCATTCTTTATCTTTTATAATGCCTAGATATGTTTTAAAATGCAATTTAAAGCATTTTTGGTTTCGATCATAGTAGGCTTTTTTCAAAAAAAATTATCCATTTTATATCTATATTAGCATTCTTTATCTTTTATAATGCTTAGATATGTTTTAAAATGCAATTTAAAGCATTTTTGGTTTCGATCATAGTAGGCTTTTTCCAAAAAAAATATCGATTTTAAATCGATATTAGCATTCTTTATCATTTATAATGCCTAGATATGTTTTAAAATGCAATTTAAAGCATTTTTGGTTTCGATCATAGTAGGCTTTTTTCAAAAAAAAATATCCATTTTATATCTATATTAGCATTCTTTATCTTTTATAATGCTTAGATATGTTTTAAAATGCAATTTAAAGCATTTTTGGTTTCGATCATAGTAGGCTTTTTCCAAAAAAAATATCGATTTTATATCGATATTAGCATTCTTTATCATTTATAATGCCTAGATATGTTTTTAAATGCAATTTAAAGCATTTTTGGTTTCGATCATAGTAGGCTATTTTCAAAAAAAATATCGATTTTATATCTATATTAGCATTCTTTATCATTTATAATGCCTAAATATGTTTTAAAATGCAATTTAAAGCATTTTTGGTTTCGATCATAGTAGGCTATTTTCAAAAAAAATATCGATTTTTACACGCTTTTTATTGAGTTGCTCTGTTGGTTTCTTTGTCACGTTCAAATCTTGCAATCGATTTTTCGACCACTTCTATTGCTCCAATCGAGCTCAAATTTTTATTACATACGTATTCCCGGTGACAATACAATATTTTCACACTTTGGAACCACAAAAAGGCTTAATTATAGTACAATTTAAGTAAAACTTTTTTATATGGGAAAAAAATCCAATGTCAATGATATAAAATTTTGATTTGTTTAAAATATTATACTTGAAATGCTCAAAAGTCATTTATATGATTTATTATAGTTTAATTAATATTACTAATTATTAATTATACTATAAATTTGAGCAGCTAAAGATATTCTGGTAAGACAAAAAAATTGACAAGTAATTTTTTCATGAATTTTCGTAAGTGAAAATTTAAATTTTCAAAAAAACCGTTAAGCACAAATCCGTTACGAATTAATAATAATCTTTCTTTATTTCAAATTTGGAATTATTGTAGTTTAAGTTACATTTCTTTGAGTCTTATTTTGACACCAGCCTGAATATGGCTTTAATTCAACTATATCTTGATTAATTATTAATTTTGATGATTGAGATTTACATATATCATGAAAATGTGGCATAAAAAGTTTAAAAAAAGTTGCCGAGCGAGAAAAAAAAAAAAAAAAAAAAAAGCTTTTTTTTAAGCTTATGAACTACGTTAATAAATTATTTTTGAACTGGCTTGTTCGGTGCTGGTGGGCAGCTCATGAAGCCATACTTCACCATGATTTTAAATGCAGTTCCTTGAGGTGCATCCTTTGGGATCTTTCCGGCTTCGTCGACGAAACTGCAGAACTGATTTATTGTTTCTTCAATGTTGGGGATTCTCTTTAGACGTTCTTGAGCTTCTGTGAATTTCTTGAAAAGGCTTTCATTCTTTACTGCTTCGTTGAGTTTCTCTGCATAACTGATATTATTGATCAGTTGTTGCTGATTAATCTCTTCTTGAAATGTTGCTGATGAGTTACTTGCAGCATTCACTGGTTGTGAATGAGCAGAAACTTGATGTCGTTTGCTTAACGATGGAAAATTGTTACTGTCCAAAAGACTTGATATCTGTGGCAGCATTTTGAGTTGTGGTTTGGCTCTTGACTTTTCGATTCTTTTGGAATACGAAATGAATGATGGGCACAGTCTATAACTGGCAGCATGATCGCCATTGCAATTAATGCACTTGGCATTTCCATCACGAGTGAATCGTTGACATTGATTTGGTCCGTGAACTTCCGTGCACTTGACGCATCGGAACTTAAATCCACAATTTTGAGATGAGTGACCCCAACGTTGGCAGTTGAAGCACTGCGTTGGGCTTTTGTTGCCCTTCTTGATGTTCTCCCACTTGACGATGATGTTGTCGATGTTACGGTGGTTATGATTGAGCACGTTGATGTTCACACTTTCATCTTGAAAATGCACAAGATAAAAGGTGAACTCGGGCTTCTTGACGAGAATTGTCACTTTGACAGCTGAAACCTTGGCTTCTTGAAGTAATCTTAGTACTTCATTCGTTGGTGTTTCGTAAAATCCTTTCAGAACGAATGACTTTGTTTTCTCCGATTTCTCGGAGAAGGTGTGGAATTGAATAGTTTGAGACCGCAGAAGATTTATTATTGAGGCCTTATCCTCAATAGACTTGACAATTACTTGAGTTGTATTTGATGATGAAATTTTATATGCAGGCATAACCTGTAATTTCAATAGTGAGATTAATTTTCTCACATCCTTGAGACTGCATTGCACAAATATTGGCTTGACTGAAGTTGTTGTTGTGACTGGAACCGATGATTCCTCTTTCTGAGGCGATTGCTTCCTCTTCTTGGAATTTTCATTAGATTTAATTGGGCTTTCGTCCAAATCAATTTTTGGCGACAAATCTTGCTTTCTTTTGACTTTCCTCATTTTCCTTGAGGAAAACACAACCCTTGGCACTTATTAAGAGGTTTTTCTCAACTTATAACGACTTGGAAACTGTTAAATTAATTTGATGAAAATTTTCCACGTTTTTTGTTACGAATTAATACAACTTACTTACTTACTTCGCTGGCCGTACAGATCAATTGTGATCCATGGCCTCCCTTAGATGGCGCCTGAAGCTGACTCTGTCGCTGGCTTCCGTTTGCCAATTAACCATACCAAATGCAATACTGTCTCTGTCAACAGCTTCTTTCCAAGAGTTCTTGGGTCGCCCGCGTGTTCTTTTGCCATCTACAAAAACATTCTTAAAGACTTTATTAATGGGAGCTTCAACAGGTCTCCTAACGACATGTCCAGCCCAACGGAGTCTGTTGACTTTGATTCGTCGTACGATATCAGCTTCATTGAAAAGCTGATATAATTCTGCGTTACTCCTGCTTTTGTAAAAGTCACCTTCTCTCTTCGTTTTAGTTAATAAGATGTATAGTTAATAGAATTAATACAAAATAACTATTAATATGCGATGTACATTTAGCACACATAGTTTGAGCATAAATTTATGCTGTTTTTAATGTATTGCATTATTTATAACACTTCACCAATTTAATTAAATTGACTTTTCTTTTTATTAACGGCTTGACGTATTTTTGCATAACATATAAATGATATTCATTGAATTTAAATTTGAAAAATCCGTTATAAATACGTTACATATGTGAGATGCATCTTTATGCTAAGAATCCACACGTTATGAAGTAGAAATGGTACAGATAAACACAAAATCTTTACGATTGATTTTTAATGTACATTACTAATGAATGCTTTGAAAAAATTAAATTTTATAAAACGAATGAAAAATTTTGAAAACTGGTAATTTATAAACAGTTGAACGTAACGGAGTGCAACGAAGTGGAGTTCAACACACCTGTAACCTATGAACCTACTGTAATCTATAAACAGTTGAACGTAACGAAGTGCAACGAAGTGGAGTTCAACACACCTGTAACCTATAAACCTACTGTAATCTATAAACAGTTGAACGTAACGAAGTGCAACGAAGTGGAGTTCAACACACCTGTAACCTATAAACCTACTGTAATCTATAAACAGTTGAACGTAACGAAGTGCAACGAAGTGGAGTTCAACACACCTGTAACCTTTAAACCTACTGTAATCTATAAACAGTTGAACGTAACGAAGTGCAACGAAGTGGAGTTCAACACACCTGTAACCTATAAACCTACTGTAATCTATAAACAGTTGAACGTAACGAAGTGCAACGAAGTGGAGTTCAACACACCTGTAACCTATAAACCTACTGTAATCTATAAACAGTTGAACGTAACGAAGTGCAACGAAGTGGAGTTCAACACACCTGTAACCTTTAAACCTACTGTAATCTATAAACAGTTGAACGTAACGAAGTGCAACGAAGTGGAGTTCAACACACCTGTAACCTATAAACCTACTGTAATCTATAAACAGTTGAACGTAACGAAGTGCAACGAAGTGGAGTTCAACACACCTGTAACCTTTAAACCTACTGTAATCTATAAACAGTTGAACGTAACGAAGTGCAACGAAGTGGAGTTCAACACACCTGTAACCTATAAACCTACTGTAATCTATAAACAGTTGAACGTAACGAAGTGCAACGAAGTGGAGTTCAACACACCTGTAACCTTTAAACCTACTGTAATCTATAAACAGTTGAACGTAACGAAGTGCAACGAAGTGGAGTTCAACACACCTGTAACCTATAAACCTACTGTAATCTATAAACAGTTGAACGTAACGAAGTGCAACGAAGTGGAGTTCAACACACCTGTAACCTTTAAACCTACTGTAATCTATAAACAGTTGAACGTAACGAAGTGCAACGAAGTGGAGTTCAACACACCTGTAACCTATGAACCTACTGTAATCTATAAACAGTTGAACGTAACGAAGTGCAACGAAGTGGAGTTCAACACACCTGTAACCTATGAACCTACTGTAATCTATAAACAGTTGAACGTAACGAAGTGCAACGAAGTGAAGTTCAACACACCTGTAACCTATGAACCTACTGTAATCTATAAACAGTTGAACGTAACGAAGTGCAACGAAGTGAAGTTCAACACACCTGTAACCTATGAACCTACTGTAATCTATAAACAGTTGAACGTAACGAAGTGCAACGAAGTGAAGTTCAACACACCTGTAACCTATGAACCTACTGTAATCTATAAACAGTTGAACGTAACAAAGTGCAACGAAGTGAAGTTCAACACACCTGTAACCTATGAACCTACTGTAATCTATAAACAGTTGAACGTAACGAAGTGCAACGAAGTGGAGTTCAACACACCTGTAACCTATGAACCTACTGTAATCTATAAACAGTTGAACGTAACGAAGTGCAACGAAGTGAAGTTCAACACACCTGTAACCTATGAACCTACTGTAATCTATAAACAGTTGAACGTAACGAAGTGAAACGAAGTGGAGTTCAACACACCTGTAACCTATAAACCTACTGTAATCTATAAACAGTTGAACGTAACGAAGTGCAACGAAGTGGAGTTCAACACACCTGTAACCTATGAACCTACTGTAATCTATAAACAGTTGAACGTAACGAAGTGCAACGAAGTGGAGTTGAATTTGAATTGTTGTGGTCGAAATTCGATTAAAAGATTGAGACTAAAAAGTAGCAAATAAAAAAATGTTAAAAAAAACTTTTTAAAAAACACGCTTTTATCAAAAAGATTAAAAACCAAAAACTTGAAAATAAAATAAGATCACACTTTTAGCGAATCAGGATTTTAAAAGTTTTCTTGTGACATCTAGAAATGTAACATAATTTTTTTCAAAATATTGTGATTAAGTCCAAGAACACAATGACTCTAAAAGCGTGGGGCGTAATTTAAGGATGAATTTCTTAGTTCAGCTATATTCTTAAGTAAGAGAACGTCAAGTCTCAAAGCCCCACGCTTTTCGAGTCATTGTGTTCTTGGACTTAATCACAATATTTTGAAAAAAATTATGTTACATTTCTAGATGTCACAAGAAAACTTTTAAAATCCTGATTCGCTAAAAGTGTGATCTTATTTTATTTTCAAGTTTTTGGTTTTTAATCTTTTTGATAAAAGCGTGTTTTTTAAAAAGTTTTTTTTATATCTATATTAGCATTCTTTATCATTTATAATGCCTAGATATGTTTTAAAATGCAATTTAAAGCATTTTTGGTTTCGATCATAGTAGGCTATTTTCAAAAAAAATTAACGATTTTATATCTATATTAGCATTCTTTATCATTTATAATGCCTAGATATGTTTTAAAATGCAATTTAAAGCATTTTTGGTTTCGATCATAGTAGGCTATTTTCAAAAAAAACTATCGATTTTATATCTATATTAGCATTCTTTATCATTTATAATGCCTAAATATGTTTTAAAATGCAATTTAAAGCATTTTTGGTTTCGATCATAGTAGGCTATTTTCAAAAAAAAAAATTATCGATTTTATATCTATATTAGCATTCTTTATCATTTATAATGCCTAGATATGTTATAAAATGCAATTTAAAGCATTTTTGATTTCGATCATATTAGGCTATTTTCAAAAAAAGTTATCGATTTTATATCTATATTAGCATTCTTTATCATTTATAATACCTAGATATGTTTTAAAATGTAATTTAAGGCATTTTTGCTATCGATCATAGTAGGCTATTTTCAAAAAAAATTATCGATTTTATATCTATATTAGCATTCTTTATCTTTTATAATGCCTAGATATGTTTTAAAATGCAATTTAAAGCATTTTTGGTTTCGATCATAGTAGGCTTTTTCCAAAAAAAATATCGATTTTATATCTATATTAGCATTCTTTATCATTTATAATGCCTAGATATGTTTTAAAATGCAATTTAAAGCATTTTTGGTTTCGATCATAGTAGGCTTTTTTCAAAAAAAATTATCCATTTTATATCTATATTAGCATTCTTTATCTTTTATAATGCCTAGATATGTTTTAAAATGCAATTTAAAGCATTTTTGGTTTCGATCATAGTAGGCTTTTTCCAAAAAAAATATCGATTTTATATCTATATTAGCATTCTTTATCATTTATAATACCTAGATATGTTTTAAAATGCAATTTAAAGCATTTTTGGTTTTGATCATAGTAGGCTTTTTTCAAAAAAAATTATCGATTTTATATCTATATTAGCATTCTTTATCATTTATAATACCTAGATATGTTTTAAAATGCAATTTAAAGCATTTTTGGTTTCGATCATAGTAGCCTATTTTGAAAAAAAATTAACGATTTTATATCTATATTAGCATTCTTTATTATTTATAATGCCTAAATATGTTTTAAAATGCAATTTAAAGCATTTTTGGTTTCGATCATAGTAGGCTAATTTCAAAAAAATTTATCGATTTTATATCTATATTAGCATTCTTTATCATTTATAATACCTAGATATGTTTTGAAATGCAATTTAAGGCATTTTTGGTTTCGATCATAGTAGGCTATTTTCAAAAAAAATTAACGATTTTATATCTATATTAGCATTCTTTATCATTTATAATGCCTAGATATGTTTTAAAATGCAATTTAAAGCATTTTTGGTTTCGATCATAGTAGGCTATTTTCAAAAAAAATATCGATTTTATATCTATATTAGCATTCTTTATCATTTATAATGCCTAGATATGTTTTAAAATGCAATTTAAAGCATTTTTGGTTTCGATCATAGTAAGCTATTTTCAAAAAAAATTATCGATTTTATATCTATATTAGCATTCTTTATCATTTATAATGCCTAGATATGTTTTAAAATGCAATTTAAAGCATTTTTGGTTTCGATCATAGTAGGCTATTTTCAAAAAAAATTATCCATTTTATATCTATATTAGCATTCTTTATCTTTTATAATGCTTAGATATGTTTTAAAATGCAATTTAAAGCATTTTTGGTTTCGATCATAGTAGGCTTTTTCCAAAAAAAATATCGATTTTAAATCTATATTAGCATTCTTTATCATTTATAATGTCTAGATATGTTTTAAAATGCAATTTAAAGCATTTTTGGTTTCGATCATAGTAGGCTTTTTCCAAAAAAAATATCGATTTTATATCTATATTAGCATTCTTTATCTTTTATAATGCCTAGATATGTTTTAAAATGCAATTTAAAGCATTTTTGGTTTCGATCATAGTAGGCTTTTTTCAAAAAAAATTATCCATTTTATATCTATATTAGCATTCTTTATCTTTTATAATGCTTAGATATGTTTTAAAATGCAATTTAAAGCATTTTTGGTTTCGATCATAGTAGGCTTTTTCCAAAAAAAATATCGATTTTATATCTATATTAGCATTCTTTATCTTTTATAATGCCTAGATATGTTTTAAAATGCAATTTAAAGCATTTTTGGTTTCGATCAGAGTAATCTTTTTTCAAAAAAAAAATATCAATTTTATATCTATATTAGCATTCTTTATCATTTATAATACCTAGATATGTTTTAAAATGCAATTTAAAGCATTTTTGGTTTCGATCATAGTAGGCTTTTTCCAAAAAAAATATCGATTTTATATCTATATTAGCATTCTTTATCTTTTATAATGCCTAGATATGTTTTAAAATGCAATTTAAAGCATTTTTGGTTTCGATCATAGTTGGCTTTTTTCAAAAAAAATTATCCATTTTATATCTATATTAGCATTCTTTATCTTTTATAATGCTTAGATATGTTTTAAAATGCAATTTAAAGCATTTTTGGTTTCGATCATAGTAGGCTTTTTCCAAAAAAAATATCGATTTTAAATCTATATTAGCATTCTTTATCATTTATAATGTCTAGATATGTTTTAAAATGCAATTTAAAGCATTTTTGGTTTCGATCATAGTAGGCTTTTTTCAAAAAAAATTATCCATTTTATATCTATATTAGCATTCTTTATCTTTTATAATGCTTAGATATGTTTTAAAATGCAATTTAAAGCATTTTTGGTTTCGATCATAGTAGGCTTTTTCCAAAAAAAATATCGATTTTAAATCTATATTAGCATTCTTTATCATTTATAATGTCTAGATATGTTTTAAAATGCAATTTAAAGCATTTTTGGTTTCGATCATAGTAGGCTTTTTTCAAAAAAAATTATCCATTTTATATCTATATTAGCATTCTTTATCTTTTATAATGCTTAGATATGTTTTAAAATGCAATTTAAAGCATTTTTGGTTTCGATCATAGTAGGCTTTTTCCAAAAAAAATATCGATTTTATATCGATATTAGCATTCTTTATCATTTATAATACCTAGATATGTTTTAAAATGCAATTTAAAGCATTTTTGGTTTCGATCATAGTAGGCTATTTTCAAAAAAAATTATCGATTTTATATCTATATTAGCATTCTTTATCATTTATAATGCCTAGATATGTTTTAAAATGCAATTTAAAGCATTTTCGGTTTCGATCATAGTAGGCTATTTTCAAAAAAAGTTATCGATTTTATATCTATATTAGCATTCTTTATTATTTATAATACCTAGATATGTTTTAAAATGCAATTTAAGGCATTTTTGGTTTCGATCATAGTAGGCTATTTTCAAAAAAAATTATCGATTTTATATCTATATTAGCATTCTTTATCATTTATAATGCCTAGATATGTTTTAAAATGCAATTTAAAGCATTTTTGGTTTCGATCATAGTAGGCTATTTTCAAAAAAAGTTATCGATTTTATATCTATATTAGCATTCTTTATAATTTATAATGCCTAGATATATTTTAAAATGCAATTTAAAGCATTTTTGGTTTCGATCATAGTAGGCTTTTTTCAAAAAAAATTATCGATTTTATATCTATATTAGCATTCTTTATCATTTATGATGCCTAGATATGTTTTAAAATGCAATTTAAAGCATTTTTGGTTTCGATCATAGTAGGCTATTTTCAAAAAAAATTATCGATTTTATATCTATATTAGCATTCTTTATCATTTATAATGCCTAAATATGTTTTAAAATGCAATTTAAAGCATTTTTGGTTTCGATCATAGTAGGCTTTTTTCAAAAAAAATTATCGATTTTATATCTATATTAGCATTCTTTATCATTTATAATACCTAGATATGTTTTAAAATGCAATTTAAGGCATTTTTGGTTTCGATCATAGTAGGCAATTTTCAAAAAAAATTAACGATTTTATATCTATATTAGCATTCTTTATCATTTATAATTCCTAGATATGTTTTAAAATGCAAATTAAAGCATTTTTGGTTTCGATCATAGTAGGCTATTTTCAAAAAATGTTATCGATTTTATATCTATATTAGCATTCTTTATCATTTATAATACCTAGATATGTTTTAAAATGCAATTTAAGGCATTTTTGGTTTCGATCATAGTAGGCTATTTTCAAAAAAAATTATCGATTTTATATCTATATTAGCATTCTTTATCATTTATAATGCCTAGATATGTTTTAAAATGCA